GCGCCGAGGGGGGGACCCCCTGCTCCGTGTGTATATATGTTGATGTATGAGAGAGCGCGTTTTACGGGCGCTTGCCTTAGAAACATTCGGCGGCGCGTTTCGAACCAGGGGGTGGGCCCCCCACCGCCAACACTCGGCGCCGTCGATCAAAACCAGGGGAACTCCCCTCTCCCCTAACGCCCCCCCCCCCCTCCCGGGGGGGGGGTCCAAACTCTCCCCCCCCGGCGCCGGCGCTGGCGCTGGCGGCCGCCAGCAGCGCCGACGGCGGGGACGCAGCGACGATGACCAGAAAGGGCCCAGGAGGGGGGGAGGCTTCACCCCCCCCCCGCGCTGGTGCCGGCGCCGGCGCTGGCGGCGGCCAGCAGAGCCGGCGGCGGAGACGCAACGACGATGACCAGAGAGGGCCCGGAGGCCGCAGAGGGGAACACACAAATCGCCATATCGAGCCCTCGCATGCTCTTCAGATGCCCCTGAGACCCTTGTGACGAGACCTCACGAGGCATCCTTTATAACTTTGACCCACAACCAAAACACAGTGGCGGGAATTGCCGAAGGCCACACCACAAACCACCACACCACCACCACCACCGCCACCACCACAACCACCGCAACAACCACCATAAACCACCACCACCACAACCACCACCATCACCACAAACCACAATACCACCACCACCACCAAAAACGCCACCACCAGCAGCACCACCACAACCCAACACAACCCACCACACCACCACCAACACCACCACCGCCACCACCACAACCACCGCAACAACCACCACAGACCACCACCACAACCACCACCATTACTACAAACCCCAATACCACCACCACCACCACCAAAAAGGCCACCACCACCAGCACCACTACAACCCAACACAACCTACCACAACCACCACCACCAACACAAACCACCACACCAGTACCACCGCCATTACCACCACCGCCACCACCACCATCACCACAACCCGCCACCACCCCTGCAAACTACCACGCGTCACTACCACCGCAACCACCCCACCACCACCACCCACCACCCACCACCACCACCAGCACCAGTGCCATTACCAGCAGCACCACCACCAGCACCACAGCCCACCACCGCCACCACCACCACCACCACAAACCACCGCGCCACCACCCACCACCACCACCGCCACCACCTCAACAAACCATCACCGTCACCCCCAAACCACTACACAACCACCACCACAGCCACCACCACCACCACAACAGCTCACCGCCACCACTGCCACCACCAATCCAACAACCCACCACCGCTAACGACCACCGCCACAATCTACCACGCCACCGCCACCACCGCCACAACCACCGCCACTACTACCAGCAGCACAACCCACCACCACCACCATAAACCACCGCACCACCACCGCCGCCACTATCACCACCACTAGCACCACCTCCGCAAGCCATCGCCGCCACCGCCACTCCCACCACCACCACCACAAACCACCACACCACAACCACCACCGCCACCGCCACCACCACCACCACAACCCACCACCACCACAAACCACCGCCACACGACCTTCAGCACCACCACCACCAAACCACCGCACCACCGCCACCACAACCACCACCACCGCCACCACCACCACGACCCACCACCACCACAATCCACCACCCCGCCACCACCACCACAACCACCATCACCACCACCAGCCACAACAACCACTACCACAACAAGGCACCGCCACCACAACCACGACCACCACCGCCACCACCACCACCACAACCCATCACCGCCACAACCACTACCACCACCAGAACCACCACGACAAACCACCACGCCAGCACCGCCACAGGCACCACCACCTTAACCTACCACCACAATTTCCACCACCACCGCCACCAGAAATCACTGCACCGCCATCTCCACCACCGCCACCACCACCACAACCTGCCACCCAAACCACCACAACCACCACCAGCACCACCAACCACCACACCACCACCAGCACCACCGCCACAACCACCACCGCCACCACCACCACCACAGCCCACCACCACCACCATCACTTCAGAGAGTCCCCAAGAGACGCCCAAGTTGCGCCCAGGAGGCTCTACAAATGCCCTTGCCCCTCCCGAGAGCTGTCCGACGAGACCCCGAGAGGCATCCATTAGGACTCTGACCCAAAACCAATGTACTGTGGCGGAGAGTCGTCGTCGTTGTCGTCGTCGTCGTCGTCGTCGCCGTCGTCCCCGTCGACGCTCCCCGCCGCCGCCGCCCGCCGCCGCAGGCGCCGGCGCCGGCCCAGAAAAACAAATCGTCGTCTTCATCGACGGTGCCAGCCGCCGCCGCCAGCCGCCGCCGATGCTGGCGCCGACTCGATGAGAGGGAGAGAGGAGAAGTAGGGGAGGAGGGGGGGGATTCGAATTCCCCCCCCTCCGTTACGGGAGGGGTGGGGGGAGGGGTGGGGGTTCGAACCCCCCCTCGCCATCCAGGGGGGGTGTCCGGTTCCACCCCTTCCCCTCCGAACGACCACAGAACGCGCTCTTTGTTATGTACGTATGTATGTATGAATGCATGCATGCATGATCACATGTGTGGATATATGTATGTATGTCTGTCTGTCTGTATGTGTAGATGTATGTATGTTTGTTTGTTTATATGTATGTAAGTATGTATGTATCAATGCATTGCTACATATATGAACGCAAAATTCGCATGCATGCATGCTTGTATGTATGTATTTGTGTGTATGTATGTGTGTATGTCGGCGTGTATGTATTCATGTATGTATATATCTGTATATGTGGAAAAGGTGCATGTGTATATTTATACATAAACGCGTGTGTAATTCTTTGTACTGGTATGTATGTATGTATGTATGTGTATTTATGCATGTATGTATGTGTATGTATGTATGTATGTATGCAAGTAACTGAATAAGTATGTATGTTTGTATGATTGTATATATACATACATATATACATATACATTTTTATATATATATATATATATTTATATATATATATATGTTTCTGTATGTATGCATATATCTCTATATATTTGTGTATCAAGGCGACTGGAACGGGGGGATCGGAACGCCCGAGAAGCATGCGAGAGCGACAGGGACGGGGGAATATCATGACCACGATGGGGTGAACGGCGTGGCGCGGCAGCGGTTCAATTCAAATCATTGTCGCGACGGGGCTGACGGTTACGTGGGAAGCGGCGGTCACAGTGATAATCATGCCATGAGAGGGCGATGGTGGTACCCGTGACTGCGGTTTTGGTCAAAAGTGATGAGGGGTTCCAGGTATACACCGTGAGTGGGGTGAGCGTCATGTCGCGTTAAATGCTGGAGAATCGGTTGGTTTCTCGGCGAGGCGCCGCTGCGTGTGAGATGTCGGGAAAACAGCGGCAGGTCGAGCGCACCATCCTCCTTCGGAGTGGTCGTCGGGTGCTCAATCTTCAGGCGCTTTTCCGGGACGATCCAGGCACGATGGATTTGGCGAGGCGAAGCTGCTGGAAGGCATCGCGAGGCGAGAGAACGTTAAATTATCAATTGCACATAAAACATCAGCCAGGATCCACGATGTTGCTTCACTTGCGCGCGGGATCTCATGGCGCCGCCCGCTCTTGGGACTGTTGGCGTTTAAGGTTTTTTCACGTCAAAGCTGTGTCCGTCATTGGGCCGTTTTGGAGGCTTGGGGGGGCTTATTAACAGCCTCTTCGCGGCATATTGGAAGGAAACTTCATTGGCCATCTTGGGGGCCGCTTGTAGGCCTCTGGGGCGTCTTGGAGGCCTCTTTGAGTATCTTGGGCCGTGTTTGGCCGTCTTCTGGCCCCCGTGGGCCGTCTTGGGGTCCTCGGGGGTCGTCTGGGAAGCTTCCTAGGGTTTCTTGAAGCCCTTTCGGACGATTTCCCGGGGCCTTCTGGAGCCGTCTTGGGGCCCTGTTGAGCCGTCTTGGGGCACTGTTGGGCCATGTTCGGGCGCTGTTGCAGACACGTTGGGACGTCTTGGGGCGATCTCGATAGCCCTTCGGGGCGTCTTGTGCTGTTGGAAACCCAAAAAGGCGAGAACGCCGGAATCGCTCAAAGCTGTTGGGAAAGCTGTGCGGAATCCCCCCTGCGGCCCTCTTGGCGGTCTCCTGAGGCCCTCGTGGGAGCCTGTTAGGTCGGGTTGTGGCCGTCTTGGGCGCCGTCCCTGGGCGCTCTTATGCTTCTTGGGGGGCGTTGCAATCCTTCTGGGGCCGTCCGCGGCGTCAAGAGGAATGCGGGCGGCTAGCCAGGGAGGCCAGGGGACCGTCCGAAAGGAAACCCTGGGCGGGTGGGGCGTCGGTCAAATGTCCTGGGACTTGGTGGTGTGTGTGTGTGTGTGTGTGTATGCGTCTGTGTCTGTGTGTGTGTGTGACCGAGCGCGTTCCACTGCTCGCAAAGTGCCTACTCGCTCACGTCCTGAAGCATATGCTCGCTTCGATGTAACGGGTCGTAAATCCTCCTCGGCGGATCCGGGCCATTTGCGAGTAGCTACTTTGCGAGAAGTGGAACGCGTTCGTCCAGTGCGTGTGTGAGTGTGTGTGCGTGTGTGTGTGTGCCCTTCGCGGCTTTGGTTGCCGTCGGGGTTTGCTGTTTTAACGCTGGCGTCTGCATTGACCGAGCTTGGTCATGCTCGCGCCTGTTTGCCACCCACGTGCGCCGTCGCGTTTCGCGGCTGCTGCTCGCGGTCGCCCGTTTTCAGCTCTGTTGTTGTTGTTGTTGTTGTTGTTGTTGTTGTTGTTGTTCTTGTTGAACATTATTAATTCTAAAGAATAATTATTGTTGGGACCCCTGGTGCACGGCCCCCCTGCGCCGCCTAGGCCGCAGCTACATTTTCATCATTTTCGTGAGGAAGCCTCAGGTAATTCGATGTGATCAAGATCCGGTTGTTTTGTTCCCCCCCGCTTTCCCTTGCAAAAAACACTATAAAATGACATTTCTTGTTCTAATATAATCAAATTTCAAGAATCCCTTGCAAAAAATAAGGTAAAGT